ATTATCCATGTCACTGGATGAGTGGAAATGCTCCTGATCCTCGAAAATGGCCAGCAAGATCTCCTGACCTCAATCCGATGGATTTCTGGTATTGGGGAGAACTTAAAGGGATGGTTTATGGGCCTGGTCCAATAACAACTGAAGCACAACTTCGCGAAACAATTTTTAACGCGGTTGAAATAATATATGGACAACTTCGAGGACCTAGAGTAAGAAAAAACTGGGTTGGTCGTAATGAACCTTGTGTGGAAAGTGGAGGACGACATTTTGAACACCTTCTTTAAATACAAAAAAAAATGCAGTGTGGGTTTTAAAAAGAAAAACAATGTATGTATCATGTGTGTTCCCTATTTATAAGTGGATTTTTTTAATACGTTCAATCAACTTTCACAGAGTTAGTGGTAAGTCCGATTTTTTTTGTTTGCACTTTACGAGTACATTATCAAATAATGGAACAATACCTAAGAACCAAAAATAACAAAATCCATCTTTATTTACACTGCGTTCCGTCATAATTTGCGTCTGGCATTGCGGAGTTGTCAGATTTTATTTTACTTTAAAGTCGCTTTTCTCTAAAAAAATGCCGTCATGTTATATGTTATATGAAACTCTTTGCTTCTTTTAATCACCTCTATCACCCATTTGAATAATGACTATCATAACTTTTATACCCTGTATAATATAGGGCTTGATACTATTTCCAAAAACCTCTAGGTTTAACATTTTTTGGATAATATCAACTATAACGTTGTTGTTGAATGTTCCCGCACTGAGAATTACACAGTTGTTAAATTTTCACCCTTTGAGAGCTAGAAGGCTATGGATACCATCTAAAAACATTGAGAACCGCCCTCTGGTCAATTGTCGGCTTCATTAAAACGGATTTCGCCAACTTTTTTTCATATTCATACGTGTCTTCTTGATATGTTATAGCGACTGAAAGTAATATAAGATGCACTTTCCCCTGTCATCTGTTCGTAAAAGATTATATTAGGCACAAGTTGGCCCCTATGAGAAAAAGAAAATAGTCAGAAACGTGTATAGCAAAAAAGTTCCTACCAACAGATCCGACCATTTCTCAATGTTGCTATGACTGACCTCGCCACGGCAGCCACCCATAGATCAAGCGACTCCGCAAGACGTCCAGAGACGCGTGTGTTGAAAATATTTAGGCTTTAAGGGCAAATGTACCGGTAAATCTATGATGTGTGAAATATGTTTAATAGGTATGCAGAATTACTAGGGTTAGAAGCGTACCAAAATACTAACGCCAAACATTGCAGATGTACTCTCCTCTACCTCCTACAACTCGCAGCCCTCGAATTTTTAACTCTGTGCAATTTTTTTTAAAATGTCAGAAAACGAATTTTGAGCGTTTTTTATTTTTTAGTTTTTTGCCCTAATTTTGTCACCACTGGACAGATTTCAAAAAGCTTCCTCATCATTAATCTAAAAAACATAATACCTCATTACTAAATAAATCATACCTACGACTCCATGCTTTATCTGCTAACAAGTGGAATATGCGTCTTTAAAATGAGTGGTCGAAAATCGCTGTTATCTTTCTAACTAAACGAGTTTAGTACATACGGGCTCAATTCCCAAGCTCAATCAATCAAAACGATCAGAAACATATGCACATCTAGAAACCTGCTATAGTCATTAATATTGAATTATTACCAACGTCCTATCCCAGTCGAAAGAAAATATTCTTGGAGTTATTACCTCAGATCTCAGATAGAATATTTCCAGTTCACGGCCCACTAGACGGCAATAAGTCATCAGAACATTTTCCATCTTCCCTCCCTTATAATCACTTGTCGCTTACTTTATCGAAGTTGTGCCCAGTTTTCCGTGCGAGATTTATTGAAGGAGTTGCGGAAGTTTGTCAATATGAACGCGACGAGCAGCCTCGTTGCTTACCGCATTTCGCCCATTAGATATATCTTATTAACGTTTTTGGTGATTTTGAGGAAGGTCACACTTGCCATAAAGTGGGAAAGTGATTATGGCGCGAACTGTGGCGAGAGTTGGGTTAGGTTGTAATTACAGAGTCCCCATATCCAAACTAAGAGTCAAATTTGTAGATCTTCCTTGGAAACAGTGTACGCAAGGTTCTGTTCTGCATATATGGTTTGGCGAGAAAACAACATGCTGCACATACGTAAGTGATTGCTGTTGTATACGAGGGATGTCTTTTAAGTTTTGCATATAGAAACATAGTAGGCCGCGCGGATCGAACGTCAGTACTGAATCTTAACCTCACTCTTTAGTAAACTTAAATTCAAAGTTTCACAACAATACGTGCAGTGTTCTCACTACAGTGAATTTTTATGTGTCACCAAGTCATTAGAAAAATGGAACTCAACCGAGAACATTTTCGCGCCATAAACTCATTCGAGTTTATATAATAACCCTTCGGCAAGATGCACACAATGTAAATATAAGGTCTAAAACCACGATCACACCTCCAGCTCATCATACTGCTCTATTTTAAGATATTTTTCTTATAACATTTCCAAAATATATAACGCTGTCCCTGAATACTTGAAATCCAAATCGCTATATAATTTTTCAAAATGCTACTTCCATTTTCTGAGAACTCGCTACAATAATTAATAACATCGAATACCTAAATGTTTTTTTGTTTTTATGCATATACCTATATTACATACCTGTATATATGATTATACCTACTTTACATTGTACGCTTTTCCCTAATTTCTTTATGTCTTTGCTTGTATTCCCTGATTTTTTTCATTTATTCATATAGAATATACAGGGTGTCCGCAAAGTTGGGGTTTTCCTTTTCAGAAACAACTACCCTTGAAATAACAAAGGTAATGTGTAGTGAAACGAGGGCGACCAAGTAAAAAAAAAATAAAGGAAAAAGTACTCACTCTCCAGTTGACGAGAAGGGCTAAGTACGTTTCTGCCCGAAATCATACCGCTCCAACAGAAAATGAAATCATCTGATGCGCTACCGAGCAGGCGCCGGCGGTGGTGCAGACCACGAACAGAGGTCACAAATATGACCATCGTGCAGAAACCACATTGATTGTCTTACACTTAATGGTACATCTTCTAACAAGGAAGGCAAAATGTTGCGTAAAAAGTCTAGGTATTGCATCCCGTCCAATCAATTTGGGAGAATAAATGGTCCAATGAGCATACCGTTCACCATGCCAGCCCAAACATTCACCGAAAATGTTTGTTGAAAATGTGCCCGACGGACAGCGTGCGGATTTTCTACTGACCAAACACCAATATGCACTTCAAAAAGTCCGGATTATTGTCATGTTGATGCAACAACCACTCACAAAACCGCACTCTTGCTGGAAAATCATTAGGTTGAAGGGCTTGTACACGTTGGACGTGAAACGGATACAGCCCCTCTTCACGCAGCGTTTGCCACACTTTAGTTTTTGATACTTGCACTTCTCTAGCCACGTCTCTAGTGCTTGTTGTTTTTTGAAACGCAATCGATTATACGGGTTCGTTTACCTCTACACGCGTGACCGTAACCGTCGGTTGAAGGTTGCATACTGACCTGACACACTGGCCCCGACCCAGTTCTGTCGTCGGGTTGAGCTAGTGTCCTAGTACCACTCGGGGATGTCGCGAGTCGCGGCTACAGGACGGTATTCAGATATTTTTGATGTTGCAGGCCCTTTATCTCGGTTCCCTTAAGACATTGGTGTATATGGTACTAAGAAAAATTGCTTATGTTTTCAAGATCTACACGTCGTGTAAAGGAAAACCCCAACTTTGCGGACACCCTCTATATTAGTTATTCATGCTTTCAAAAAGGCTATTGTTTGAATATTACTACGGTAACATATACTACTCGTATATCTTTACTTTTAAGCTTTCAAGTTAGTTAAGTAGGTTTTGTATGGTTAAGTGGAAGACCAGCCATTCCTCTATAGGAATGAAAGCTGAACTTCGCCTTTTCCAACAATCACTTCCATATCTCTGTACCTTGGTACCAACGAATAAAGATGATTATTATTATTATTATTTATTACAACTTTCAGAAACAATTATCGCAACAAGAACGCCTTGCTGAGTTATTGTCTGTTTTCGGCAACGAAGCGCCACATCAGTCGACAATTTCCCGTTGGTATGGAGAATTCAAACGTTGGACGGGTGAGTCTTAGCGACGATCCCAAGGTGGGTGCACCAAAAACGGCAGTCACCAAGGAGAACGTCGATGCTGTGCGCAAACTCATCATTCAAGATAGACATGTGACATATCGCGAGATTAAGGCGTCCTTGAAGATCTCAAAGACCTCAACTCAAAAAATTTTACATGAAGAATTAGGAGTAAGAAAATTAGTTTCTCGTTGGATACCCCACCTGTTAACTGAAGAGCAGAAAGCAGCCATGGTTAATTGGTGTGAAAAAACGGTTGACCGTTTCAATTCCGGAAACTCAAAAAATGTGTACAGCATTGCTAGTGGTGATGAATCGTGTATTTACTGTTATGAACCAGAAAATAAACGACAGTCGGCTGTTTGGGTGTTCCAAGGTGAAGAAAAGCCAACAAAAGTCATCCGTTCTCGAAGTGTTTCGAAAAAGATGGTCGTGACATTTGTGTCAAAAGCGTTTCATATTGCAACAATTCCTCTCAATGAGCAAAGAACTGTTACTGCAGATTGGTATACCACCATTTGTTTGCCAAAAGTCATCACCGAGCTTCGAAAAATCAACCCCGAAAGAAGAATCATCCTCCACATATGACAATGCAAGCTCGTACACAGCCCAAAAAACAAGGCAGTATTTAACAGAAGAAAACGTCGAATTATTGGACCATCCTCCATATAGTCCCGGTCTAAGTCCTAACGATTTCTTTACTTTCCCGAAAATCAAGAACAGACTGCGTGGTCAAAGGTTCCAGTCATCAGAAGAAGCAGTTGACGCCAGCAAACGAGTGGAATAAGTGCTTCGAAAATTGGTTCGAGCGTATGCAGATGTGTATTAATCGTTGTGGAGAATACTTCGAAAAACAACAAAGTCATTTAAAACTACCTACCGTTTTGTTTTATTTCCATATGCAAAACTTAAAAGACATCCCTCGTATATCTCCTTGGGCTCAGTGAAACAATGGCGTTTCCATATCTTGATAAAATAAATTATAACAACCTTTTTCTTATTTAGAGTAATAATTTTATAGCGGTTCTTAAAAATATCGAATTTTATTTTTATAACAAAACACTCTCAGTAAACGTCATTTTTTATAATTTCTGTCGACCGTGAATACGAGAGCTGAAGGTGGATCGGGGCTATTCCCGGTGCTCTCGTGTAGGAGTTCAACAGCTCACAGCCCGCGGTAGTGAAATAATTTCACATCCAGTGTTGGGGTTTATCGGGTTGTGAAGATTTTGATAGAAATTGGCCTCAATGAGCGAATTTTGTTGTCAGATCCCTTTTTTCACCCTCTTGGGGGTTTAGCCGTTCTCAATACACTAATCATCGAGCTGAGAGGAACTGTCTACATTGATACTCCGTGCTGAATTTAAGTAGGACTATAGCCAAGAACATGCCTAGGTGGTTTTTTATTTTAGTTTTTACTGGAAACCAGCTAGCTGGAGGAGTAGTGCAAAGTAACTTCCTCTTGCTTGTCTTCCAGGACTTCTTTAATTTGTTTTTATTTCTTTTGTTCAATAGATGTTCGTGTACCTTGTGAGTTGTATCTCCTTTAGCACCGGAGACCTAACATTGGTTACTTGTAATTTCTTTTCCTAGTGCTTGGAACTAGGTGGTGCCCAAACCACAACCATTTGCATCCAAAGTACAAAGAACCACACGCTGAGGTCTCATTCACTACCGATCGAGCACAGTTACATTCTATTAGCAAATTATAACTTTATATATGAGAGATAACAAGACAATGCAAAATAATAATGTGCTCGCTTTCTCGAGTTACAGCGCAATCTCAGAGAAGTTAGTAACTTTTAGAGATATAAAAAATATTGATGTTATTAATTTCAAGGGCGACTTACTTCATGCTGGACTTGATCGTATCTTTTACTTTATAGATGTTGATGACAAAGTAAGCTGTCTATCTAGTTGCATAATACAAATATATGATATGCACGCGCCATTACGAACTGCTCGTGTAACAAAACCGGCTGCTCCATGGATAACATCGAACCTGAGATGCATCTTTAAGGAACGCGACCAAGCTCTCTTGAATTTCCGTCATGACCCATCTGAAGTGAACTGGTCTACGTACAAAGATATGCGGAATTACGCACTTGCTTCCTTTCGTAGGGAGAAGAGGGCCTACCTTTCTAGATATGGTGATATTAGTACACGATCAGCATGGAAAACACTTAGATCTATGAATGTCTGTCAACAGAAACGTGTTGATGTACCGTTTAATCTGCTAGATCCCCGTGAAGTCAACGAATACTTTTTAAGTACTTTTATGCCTGCCGATCAAAACCTCAAAGTAGTACAATCCACTGTCAACAGCTACAGCAACAGACGCTTCGATCCCGACGTGTCATCATTTCACTTTCGTCTGGTAACCCCTCGTGAAGTTATGAATGCAGTCTTGTCTATCAAGTCTGAAGCAGCGGGTTGTGACGGCATCACTCTAACTATGCTAGGCTTATGCCTGCCTGAAATACTTGATCACATCACGCATATTATTAATATTTGCTTAGAGAGGGGCGTTTTCCCATCCAACTGGAAGGAGGCAATAGTCACACCTCTAGCCAAAAGTAAGAATCCGTCTGAACATGCCGATCTTAGACCTATAAGTGGTTTATGTTTCTTGTCGAAAGTCTTAGAGAAGATAGTATACGAACAGCTTGTTGAGTATTTTGCTAATAATAATTTCTTTCCAGTACACCAATCTGGTTTTCGTGAAGGTCACAGTACGACTACTGCACTACTACATCTTGTAGATGAGATACTTTCCAACCTTGACAACAAATCCGGTACGCTGTTGGTCATGCTTGATTTTTCCAAGGCTTTCGATACGGTCAATCATGAGATTCTTTTGAGTAAGTTAAAATATTATGGCATGTCGGAAGTTCCTTTGAATTTCTTCAGATCGTACCTAACTGATCGCACCCAAAGAGTGAAAACATCTAGAGGAACTTCTGATGCACAGTATCTGTCATCAGGAGTTCCACAGGGTTCAGTACTGGGACCTCTTTTATTCCTAGTATACACATTCGATCTGCATGAGTGTGTAGAACATTGTTGCATTCAAATGTATGCTGACGATACACAGCTAACATTTCGTTTCAATGAATCCAACTTACATGAAGCATCCTACAAAATTAACCTAGATCTTGACAACGTATTAACGTATTGCAATAGACACTGTCTCCGCATCAATCCATCAAAATGCACCGCGATACCATACTGTCCTAGACATTCAAATTACAACATCACAAATCGGGTCTCCTTGTTTATCAACGACATAGATATTCCATTTTGTGATAATGCTAAGAATCTAGGTGTTATATTTGATTCAGATCTTCGATTTAACTTACATGTGAATAATATTATGAAGTCGAGTTATATGAAGATGAAGCTTTTATATTCTAGTCGCCATATTCTAAACTTTAAGTGCCGTAAAAAGTTGTGTGAAAGCCTCATATTATCAATTTTAGCTTACTCTTTAGTCCTCATTTACCCATGTCTAGACTCAGCTTGCAAGTCAAAATTGCAGAAGCTTCAGAACAACTGTTGCAGATTCATATTTGGGCTTAGGAAGTACAGTAGCGTTTCTTCAAAAATCAAGGAGTTACAGTGGCTCAGAGTTGACGGCTTATACAACTACTCTATGGCTTCGTTGGAAACCAAATTACTCTAAATCTGCGGCACAATGATCTACTTTCCATTCCTATACATCGTACGTCGGTCTTTGAAAGGTCCTTTACTTATAATGCGGTCAAGGTATACAATTCTTTGCCAGCTATCTCTAAGAGCTTAAGTTTGCAGCGCTTCAAGAAGACAGTCAAGTTGCACTTTCTGGACTCAGCACATTGAGTGATAAATTCATTTTGCTGAACGATATCTTGTTCTTTTGTTTCTTTTCTTTGTATATGTTCATATTATATATTTTTAATGCATTCGTTACAGCTACTGATTCATGTTGCTATGCTAATGTTTTGTAATGTCTGGTTGTAGTATGGTTAAGTGGTAGAGTAGCCATGGCTAAACTTCGCCATACTATGATCATCTTTTGAATAAAGTCATTATTATTATTATTATAAGTAAAAAGCTGAATATAGGCAACCAGTTGCAACGAAATGCTCTGCTGGTTGCAGGTTGTGAGAAGATTACGTCTGGAACAATCTATGTGAGGAGGCTTCTCCCTGTTTTATGTACTAACGTTAGGCAGCACAAAAATCGGACTAACAAAGCTCTTCATAGCAACCGCGGACCTTGCTATTTAGGCTTCTCCATGCGCGGTTACTTTGGTATTATAAAAAAACTTAAAAAATCACCTGGTCAACGATCTTGGGAATTGCCACCCCCGAAAGGGTTAATCTGATGCTCAATGAAAACAGAAGCTATTCTCAAAACCTACAAGTTAACACCTAGGTGATTAGCTTTTAGAGTCCCACGCGGAAGATTGTACGAGTTAATTTGCTATCAAAAGAGAATTATCGGTTTGAAATTTAAATTTTTTGGATGGTTGGCTGCCAAAATGGCTTGTGCTTTGCTATCTATCATGTTTTAGTGTCCGTACGAAATTATTATTTTTCCATTTAAAATTATCAGTGCTTGAAAGTAATGAAACGGTTCTGTACTTTTCCAGATAAGGTATTTTTTTAAAAGTTCAAGATCTATAGTAACTTTGAATAAACAGTACGATGGTGACCTTGGATCTGACCCTGAGCATAACCTTCAAGGTTATTTCATGTCGACTTTTGTTTTTTTAAATGGAAAGAACGGGCAATTATACTAAGTGACATATAAATCCGAACACCCAGTTTAAATGGTTTTATTTTAATAAAAGTTGGTGAATGTATTTATCTTACTGTAAATAACAAGTGAAAAAATTTTCAGCCTTATCAGTTGGACATCCGGTTTTTATACTGCTTTTTTTTAATTCACTAACGCTCTAAAAATGAATATTTCAGCCGCAGTAAAGAATCGACGTTGGCGGATTTTGGTTCTTGACATCCTTTACGATCGGTTACGATGCCTAGAGTACGGAGACCTGTACGATTTCGTCAACTTAGTGAGTTTGATAGGGGCCGTATAGTGGGACTTCGGGAAGCTGGACTTTCTTTTCGGGCAATTGCAGTTAGAGTGCAAAGAAGTGTAGACACTGTGGTTAGGTGTTGTCAGGCATGGCTTCGAGAAGGCCGTACGCAAAGAGCAAGGGGCACTGGACACCGCTGTAGAACAACAGACCGTGAAGATCGCCGCCTAAGATTATTGGCCTTAAGGGACCGTTTCTCCACTACCAGGTCCATTGCAAATGAATGGTTTGCAGAACACGGAAGACCTATTGGCATGTGAAGTGTTTACCGACGAATGAGAAGTTTTGGCTTGTTTTCATACCGGCCACACTGGGTCCTCCCTTGTCGTGCCAGGGTTAGAAGGCGACGTGGTGAAAGGAGGAATCCACAGTTTTTTGTTGAAAGACATGTTCATCACACTGTTGGAGTTATGGTTTGGGGTGCTATAGCTTATGGTTCCAGGTCACCTTTAATCTTCATCAGAGGTAACATGAACGCGCAGCGTTATATCCACGAAGTTCTAGAACCCCATCTTTTACCCTATCTTGACATCCTGGCAGATCCAACTTTCCAACAAGATAATGCCCGACCACATGTTGCAAGAGTCACAATATACTTCTTTCAACATAATGATGTCACATTGTTACCATGGCCACCAAGATCTCCCGACTTATCCCCAATTGAGCACGTGTGGGATATGATGGGTAGGAGATTGCTCAATTTGCAACGTCCTCCTCAGACTCTAGAATCACTTCGAGAGGAGTTGGTGGTTGCTTGGAATGAGATACCATAGGAGGACATTGACCACCTGATCAGAAGCATGCCTAGGCGCGTTGGAGAATGCGTAGCACATCA